CAAGTGGGGTGACTCTGCCCCCGGGACACCTGGCAAGGCCCGGGACATTTTTGGTTGTCGTGATTGGGTGTGACTGGCATTGGTGGGAAGGAGCCAGGGGTGCCATGAAACCCTACAGCGCACGTGCTGGACACCCCAGAACAAGGGCAGACCCAGCCCAATGCCATCAGCACCCCTGGTCTAGAGGGACGACTCGCCACTCAAGCCTCATAGCTTCTCACTGATGAAGCCTCAACCGAGATGAATTTACAAACCGAAATTATAAAATACACAGGGCAAAGCCCCACCAGAGCAAACACCCGCAGACACAGGAATAAGAGGATCAGGCTCCTGGGAACTTGAGATGATAGGATTATCAAAAATCTTTACAGACATCAAAGAAGGAATTAAAACCCCAGAGGAAGAAAGACATTATCACAAAGTCCAGGAGGATCTGAATAAGAAAGACAGTTTCCAGAGGTGAACAGATGAGACTGAAAGTAGAGTCTGTCAGGTTAGGGTCAGGGTGAGATCAGGTTGGGGTTAGGGTGAGGTTAGGCTGAGGTCAAGTTGGGTCAGGCTGAGATCAGGTTAGGTCAGGTCGGGTCAGGTTAGGTCAGCTTGAGGTCAGGTTGAGGTCAGGTTGGGTCAGGTTAGGTCAGCTTGAGGTCAGGTTGGGTCAGCTTGAGGTCAGGCTGGGTCAGGTGGAGGCATTCTCTCCCAGGAACCCTCCAAAAGGGGTCAATGGAAGACAGACATCACAGACCAGGACACATAAAGCAAGCAAAGGAGAAAGGAAAATGATCAATTCTGTTTACAGGAATCCCAGGAGAAGAGGTGAAAATAAACCAAGTGACGAAAATGTGGTGAAGATGGAAGACATCCAGCTGCAAAGGCTCAGTGCGCAATAGGACGAGGAGATTCCACGCCTGGCGCTTTACAGGGAGACCTGGGGGCTTTAGTCCTCAAAAGGAATGTGTGCTGTGGGACTTGGCTTCGTAGCTACTCTGGGGAAAGACGCCCCCGTGTCCGGCACAGCCTCCCTCCCTCTCCCTCAGCTCAAAGCCCCGTGACACTGTAACTGGGGCTGGACACACTCAGCGGTCACCGCAGAAAGGGCCCGGGGCCTGGTCCACTGCCTCCAAGGCAGCCGTGGCCAGAGGAGAGGGAGCGTCTGCCCGTCATGCTGTGCGCCCGTCGGGTCCTGCCCCGGCTGGCACCCCCGCATTCCGTCCCTGGGCCCTGCGGGCAGGAGGGGCCGGTTAGGGGTGCATCTCCTGGGGGGCCTGCAAGGCAGCGCGGCAGAGGGGCGTGTGTGAATGAAAATGAAAAGGGGGAAAACATACATGATTAGGAAGAGGTTCTCAAATACCGGGCCAGCCCACAGTGGAGGAAATATTCATTCTGTAGCTGAATTTACCAACTTAGGCTTAAAAACATGAACTGGAACAGACTAAAACCTCTTTAGCAGAGATAGAGTTTTTGGTGTCACCAAGCAAAGTATTCTCTAGGAGAGATTTCTTTCCTTGTACAAAAGAGACAGCTTCTTACTTGGAGAAGGTGACCTTTAAAATGAGACCCCTGGCCGTACCTGGGATGAGGGATCCATGCTGTTGGGCACCCCGCACCCCCCTGTGGCCCCCACGTCCCCGGCCTGTGCACACGCTGGTGGACTCCCAGCTGTCAGCACCTGTTTCTTTGCCGGACAGGCCACAGATGCTTGAGCCTTCGTGCTCCCCGGGGCAGCTCTTGCCATGGTGACAGGAAGCCCCTGAGCCCCCGGTCCCCGGACGGGCCTCAGTGCAGACTCGGGGTTAGGGGGTGGGGTGTGGGGTGGGGTATGGGTGGGGCATGTGGGTGGGGGTAGGGGTGGGGTGGGGTAGGGGGTGGGGGGTGGGGGTGGGGCATGGGGTGGGCTGGGGGCTGGGGGGTGGGGACTGGGGTAGGGTGAGGCACGGGGGGCGGGTGGGGGGACCAGGCACCCCGAGGGCACAGGAGGCCCCCAGATGCGTCCAAAAGGTGGGCGTTTGATCTCAGCTTAAAAGCCAGTGGCTTTAGGATCTAAAACATCACTTCACACCGTAAATGTTGCCAGATAATTAATCCAGTGATTAAAGGCTCTGATAAACTCTTCCCTGCCTCAGTTCTGGTTCGGAATCTTTACAAGTTCAGTTGCCACGCCACCTCCTCCCTCACCTCTTCTCACCCTCAGCTGCCCGGTGGTTTGCGGGAAAAGGGGGCCGTGACCCGGCCCTTCCACAAAGACCATTCCAGCCTCTCGGCAGGTCTCTCCTTCCAGGTACCTGCTTTGCTTTACAGCTGAAATGCTTAACCTCTGAGCTGACACAGGTTCACGAGAGCGAACACATAAAACAGGCCATGTGACAGTATGGAAAAAGTGATCTAAATAAGAAATGCTTTTCTCCAACCAGCCAACTAGCAGATGACCGCGGCTGAGCTAGTTTAAAATAAAAATGCATCTAACCTCCTGACAATAAAGAGAGCAGAGGTTAATATTTCGTGAGCCACTGCATTTTTTGTTTTTCAATTCTTATTGTCCTACCAAGACAAACATCATATGAATTAAGATAAAAATCATCTATGGGTTAAAAACAAAGATCCAAAGGCAAAGAACTAATTTTAAATAAAACATGATTCTTAGGAAGTTTCAGCCTTAAAGATAAGTACTATTAGGGTCATTCCTATAATTTCTTTCCAGTTGTTAAACTCCAGTGTGTTCAGCTATTTTGTTTCGAAATGCATTTATATGCTATATGTCAACGTTACACAACTTACAAAAGGCTTCCAAAGTGTACGTATGAACAGAACTCATAGATCTGGTTTTTAGCCGTGTTGTTGACAGAAAGACTGATGCTTACTTTTCAGTTATGACTCACGAGAACCACATCTAATCTCCAAACCTGGAAGACACAGTGCCATTTGGTAACTGGTAACTCTTATTCACAAAGCATGATGTATATATACAGCAGAGCCGCATATAATGGCCCTGAAGATTTTTCTTAAATTAAACTTTCAATTTTGAGCTTGAAGAGATCCTTTTACCCAATCTGTCCAGTGGTAACATCTCGCAAAACCGCAGGGTGCAGACACTGACACAGTCCAGACACAGAGCATCCATCACCACCACAGCCCCCGCAACCCACCTCCAGCCCTCCCAGCCCCACCCCCAAACCTAACACGGCCACCACTGGTCTGTTCTCTGTCCCCGTACTCCTGTCAGCCCGAGAATGGTGTATAAAAGGACCTGCGCTGTTATGTAACCTTTGAGGATTGGCTCTTTTCACTCAGCATAATTCTCTGAAGATTCACCGGGTTGTTGCTGTATCAACAGTTCACTCCACGAGCTCTCGTGGTGTGGATACTCACAGCTCTTTAACCGCCCACGAGGTGAAGGACAGCTGGGTTCCTTCTACGATTTGGCTGTTATGAGCAAAGCTGCTATAAACATTTCCATAAAGGTTTTTTCCCCTCTCTGGGTTAAATAGCCAGTGGAGCAAAAGTTTTTACTTTTTTATTTTATTTATTTATTTATTTTTGCGGTACGCGGGCCTCTCACTGCTGTGGCCTCTCCCGCTGCGGAGCACAGGCTCCGGACGCGCAGGCTCAGCGGCCATGGCTCACGGGCCCAGCCGCTCCGCGGCATGTGGGATCTTCCCGGACCGGGGCACGAACCCGTGTCCCCTGCATCGGCAGGCGGACTCTCAACCACTGCGCCACCAGGGAAGCCCCAAAAGTTTTTACTTTTGATAAAGTCTAATTTACATTTCTTTTTTTCCTCACTGTGCTTTTGGTATCAAGAATGATGTGTATGATCCAACATCCCAAAGATTTTCTACTGTTATTTTTCTAAAGTTAATAGTTTTGCATTTTACATTGAAGTCGGACTTAATTTGACTTACATTTAAGTCTGACTTAATTGTTGTATAAGGTGTGGGACTTAGGTGCTCAGCAGGAAAATACGTCTACACCATCTTCCCGGAAGTGGAAGTCCCCAAAGATTTTGAAAGCAAGCTATAAAATGTTCGCTAATCTTGTGACTTATAATAGAGTCATTTACAAGGAATTCTGCCGGCTCTGGAAACAAGTTACAATAAAGTAAAACCAAAGTAATTTTTCCTCTAAAAGTTTTACAATTTACTTAAATGATATGCTTGGAGCATCTAGTGCGTCTTCATGTTCTAGCTGCTCAGTATCTTACAAATTTTTTGGAAGCTGTGTCTAAATATAAATATGTAAACAGATGTTTTAGGTGTCCATTGACTCTGATTTCTAAACAAATAGTTTTTCTAAAGTTATTCTTAGAATAGCACTCACTGAAAGTGGCTCTAGTCTCCCCAGGATGACTCAGAATTTTAATAGCAATCTTCACCTACATTCCACCCCATTCTGAGGGGCACCTGGCCTTGGTTCCAGCAGCTGGTGACACCTGCCACCCGCCTTGTACCGGTGCCTGGTGGCAGAAATGTGCCAGTTCTCTCAAACCCCTCTGTTCAACCTTTGCCTTTTGGGGATTTGAAATCAATAAGCCTCAACTGGGTTAATTTACCTCTAAGTGTTTATTAAGCTCAGATAGTTCTGCTGAATAAATAGGAAAGAAATATCCGATCTGCTCAGAGCGTGGACATGAACACGCCCAGCATAGCTTGTAGGTTCGTACAGCTAAACGCTTTCTCTTTCTACTGCAATCGCACTTCACCACCTGGGACCACATCTTCCCACTGAAGAGCCGTTTCTCACCAGAAGCGGCTCATTTCTGATGGGAGCAGGCCAGGTCCAACGTGAGATCAGGCACAGTGTGCCAGAAGGCAAAGCAGAGCTCCAGTGTCAAAGGGCATGTGTCAAAGGTTGAGGGTGGTGCAGAAGGGATCCTTCAGGCAGACTTTGAAAGTCTAAATACATAGTGACTGGACTTAACACACGAGTAAGTAAAGCCCTCAAGTCTATGGTACATACAGTATACACAGTGACAAAGAGAGGAAGAAAGAGAAAAATCAACTCACCGTCGGAAAACAAGACATCCGCACGGTGCTGGCTACCAGGTCATCGAGAGGGGGGCGGGCTTCACGACGGGTGCGAACCATGTCCACCCCTAATCCCGTAGCCGAACTTGGTGCCAAGGGTCTGGGCTGTGGTGAAGGTGCAGCGGTCAGAGTCTCCAGCAGCCGTCCGGCTCTGCCCTGGGCAAGGACGAGCTCCAACAGGTGTCCAGACCCAAGTCCCTGCGTCCGGAGGATACGGGAAGAGGGAGAGACAACTGGGGTCTTCAGAGTCAAGGACCAGGGAAAATAAAAGGTGGGAGGGATGTTCTAGAATGTGGGGTAAAGGAGATCAAGAGACATAACCAAATGAAGTACATAAACCTTGATTCGATTTTATCCAAAAAACCTACAAAACACAGTTTTGGGACAACTGGGGAAATCTGAATTTGGACCTGATATATTCATTATTGTTAACTTTCTTAGGTGTTACAGTGGAATTTGGTTACAGAAGAGAATGACCTTATTTTTAGTAGATGCATGCTTAACTATTCAGGGATAATTGTCTTGGTTTCTGTAAACTACTTCCAAATGGTTCATACATTTCGTATATATATGGACGCACACATCTCATATATACATATATACTTCCACACAGATGGCTAGCTTCTCACTGTGCTACTCTTTCAACTTCTTCGTATGCTTGAAATTTTTCACTTAGAAAGAGCTAGGAAAGGGGCCTCCCTGGTGGCGCAGTGGTTGAGAATCTGCCTGCCAATGCAGCGGACACGGGTTCGAGACCTGGTCGGGGAAGATCCCACATGCCGCGGAGCAACTAAGCCCGTGCGCCACAACTACTGAGCCCGCTAGCCACAACTACTGAAGCCTGTGCGCCTAGAGCCCGTGCTCTGCAACAAGAGAAGCCACTGCAGTGAGAAGCCCGCGCGCCGCAACGAACAGTAGCCCCCGCTCACGGTAAACAGAGAAAGCCCGCGTGCAGCAACGAAGACCCAACGCAGCCAAAAATAAAATAAAATAAATAAAATTTAAAAAGGAGCTAGGAAAAAGCAGCCCCCTGCCAAAACCAACTAAACGTGATTCTAATGACATTACTTTTCTCCTCACAAAGCAGGCTGCAGAGCAACATACGCCTCCATTTTTATTGAAGGAAACATTAATAATGGTTATGCTGTGTCAGCTAGGCTGGGCCACGGGCTGCCCAGATATTTGGTCAAACACTTTTCTGGGTGTTTCCGCCGAGGCGTTTTTGAATGAGATTAACATCTAATCTGTAGAGTAAAGCAGACTGCCCTCCTTGACGTGGGTGTCTTACATCTTATGTCTTAGCATGAAGGTTTTTAAAGATACAAACCCTGCTATGTAGCCAAGCCCGCTGCCTCTCGGCCCTGCAAGGTCCCCTCTCCCCCCTCCACCGACGCCCGACGCCGGGTCCCTGCTCCTGCTGCTGGTGGCGTTTCTGGGCTGGCAGCTTACGTCGGCTGTGGGCCACCCCACCTTCCTTTCCCTTCCTGGCGTCTGTCAACTGCGCTAGGACAGAGCCCGCACACCCTCCGGCACAGAGGCCCTGGTCAAGGACTCAGCTTTGCTTGTGTGGACCTGCCTTTGTGCTGTTTCAGTCAGAACCACCACTCAGAACCGACCACACTGGTCTTGACCACATGGGCCAAATGACTCTTTTACACATATTGACTTGTCCATCATTCATTCACTTTTACAGCACACTTTGACCTACTCCCAATGGCTCCTGTCCATCCGTGGGGAGTTCTGCAAAAGTTTGTTTCTTTTAAGATACTGTGGCCACAGATTTGGGTTTTGTTCTATAAACTCGTCCTTACTAATTTCTCACTTTGCAAACATCACTCACACCGTAGGTGTCGAAAGAAAAGCAATTAGAATCACAACAGAAATTCCCAAGGACCATAACAGTCACATCCAACGGCAGCAGGAGAGATTTAGGTTACGTGGCGAGAGAGCCTCCATTCATTATAAGCTTGAGAAACACTGGGAAAAGTTATACAACATCCTTCCCGGCCAGTTTTTAAGGGAAATCGGGCCTCTGCCTGCCACACCGACGGGGAGGTGCCAGCTGGCAGGAGAGCAGGTGAGGCGGAACCGTCCCAGCTCTCGCAGGGCCGGCATGTGCTGCAATGAGGGGACAAAGCCAAGACTGTGTTTCTTTGGAAACAACACACGTAAATGTGTGAACACCTCGTAAGCCTGCCAGGTGCTGCACACAGCGAGATTCCCGCATGTAGGCGGGAAAACCCGGGACAGAGCCAGAAGCCAGGTGCCTGGGCCAGTTACTTAAAAGTTACTTAAAATCTCTCAGGGTCTCAGGGTCTGGTCGGTGAATCAAGGGATTGGATGAGATGATCCCTAGGCCTCTTCCAGACTCAAGGTCCATAAATACCAGATAAGAGTGGAAAAGATGGAAAGCCTGGCCTCTTGGAAAAAAGCCAAAGAGAGCGGGAAGATGGAGGGGGGCAGTAGCAGCAAAGCCTGAAGAAGAGAGAGACCTGGGCAGGTGGGGGACACCTGGCGGCAGGTAGACACAGTTCCACCGGGGGGTTAGCACCCTCGACCACCAGCCCAACTTTCAGTCCGGGTCCTGGGACGAAATGATGTTTCCTCTGTGGCCTCCGTGTCCTGGGGTGAGGCAGCCCCGAGGAGAATGAGGTCGGCTGGAGCCTGGGGCACCCAGGGGACAAGGATGGGAGGGGACAGTGGACACAGGCTCTCTGGGGGCCCCGAGTTCTTCATTTTGCCACCACCCCACTCTTCTCTACTCAGAGCTCCTCGTGGCCATCTCTCTTTGTCTTTGTCTCTGTCTCTGTCTTTCTCTGTCTCTGTCTTTCTCTCTCTGTCTCTGTCTCCCTTCTTCCTCCCCAGCACAGCCTCAGGCTCCGGGGAGCTGTCCGGTGGGGACAGGCGTCCGAGTGGCCAGTCCATGCCGCTGGTTCTTTCCCCAATGCTCTATCCTCCTCCCTCTTGTGCATTAACCTCTGAGGAAATCGCTGTTTTCAGGTGTCCACATGTTGAGACTCTTTAGGCGATGGTTTTAATTCGATGAGCCCATTCTCCCCGGGGGCCTCTGGGCCACACGCAGGACCCTCTTACCGTTGGCTGGTTTCCCCGCGTCAGGGCTCATCCCAGGGAGCCCTCTTCCAGAGCTGCTGTCTCCCAGGCCGTCTGGCGGTGCTTCTGCAACCCCTGAAACGACAGGTCGGCCCTCCTTCAGGGCGCCGTGTCTGGACGTTGGTTGGTCACGGACTTCTTACAGAATCTGGGAAACACGGTTCACTGCCTCATAAAGCACACGGTCGGTCTGGGGGTCTGAGGACCCTCTGAAGTCTGCCGTGGTCACGGGGCCCCACGGTCCCGGGGGAATGTTCATGTTTATTCCAATTACCCGCTTAATGACATCGTGATGGTCATTGTACTTTGCCCCAATCAACGTCCTCACTCGCGTCTCCAAGGCGCGCGCACATGCTCTGAGTGCAGGGCTTTGACAAGACAGGTGGAAACATAATAGCTTCTCAGAACTTGTTCTTTTCTTATCTCCTCTCGGTCTCCCATCAGCGACCTAGACAGACACTCGGCGTATCACTCTAAAAATGTAAGAACTGTCACCTCCAGGCTCAAATGCAAGGCCCCTGACCACGTCTTCCCTGTTTCAGGGAGAGGATCCTTTCTGGAGGCCAGTGTGTGTCCTGTGCCCTCATCCCGCCTCGCCTCCCCAATTATTCCCTCTTCCAAGGCCCCCGTGGGCTCTTTCTAATCAGCAGAAGAGCAATTCACAGAGGGACACCCCTGCCCCCAGTGCTAGCCGCTTCCGGCCCTCCCTGCTGGGCGAGAGTCTCCACTGCGCACACCTGCCCCGGCCCCACAGAGCGCTCGGGGGATGAACAGCGCGTCCCTCTGGAAGCCTCCCCTCTCTGGGCCCACCCGGGGCTCCCCGGCTCGCCCCGCTGCCCCCACAGGCCCGACACCCTCCTGGACGACAGTGAGCTATGCCCTTGCACGTCGTAAGTGAGCTGTCCCCGAGTGGAGGAGCCGCTGGGGCAGAAGCCCAGGGGTCACCAGGGCTCAGGCCACCCGGCCACCACTCCCGCCCGCCCAGAGCCCAGCTGACCCGTGTGTGCACTGCAGCACCTGCCTGTGGCCCAGGCCTCTGGGCGCGCCCAGGCCCCGGGCTCTGTTGCGTGATTCATAGGACGAACGATCACTTCAGAGGCGCCTGGGCCTCACCCTCAGCAGGATTAGGGCCTCTGGATCCTCAGCACGAACCTCCTTATGGGCTTCAGTGCGTCTCCCTGTGCCTGTGAGCCTACGGGCTGGAAGAAGCATCTTGCATTCCAGGACAATCGTAACTGCTAAGTCTGCTTCAGGGTATAGCTGAGAGGATTATAATTAGCACATCTGTATGCAGATGTCTGTTACATCCATTGTTTTCTCTGAAATAGCTATTTGCATAGGTGCTTTTGCTTCTGGAGCCCAGAGGAGAGGGGCTTCCACCCAGCCTCGGAGCTGCGGCACCAGCGGGGGGAAGGGAGTCGCCCCATCCCTTACGCGTGGATTCCTGGTTTCCAGCCTGTGATTTGGAGGAAACATCGCCCCGAGGGAGGGGTTCACACTGGCATTCTGTCTCTCTGCAGCATTTCCCAAATCCATCCTGAGCATCTCTCGGGGATGGTGGATGCACCCTCAGTGTGTCAAGGGGCCCCCAGTGGGTTTGTCCCCACCCCTATCAATTTCTAAACCCACATAATAAAAGCTCTTGAATGGTCTAAAATAGACCATGGAGTTTGAGACCGGCTGTCCTGAGCTAGCGAGCCCCCTGGCCCTGCCCCGCTGGTGGGGGCCTGAGCTCTCGCTGGGCCCCGGGGGGCTTCCTGAGCTAAGAGGCTGAGTCTGCGGTCCAGCCTGGCCCTAAACACCGACCCCAGAGCAGGTGTTTGTACAGGACGGAGCTACTGAAACTGCAGTGAATGGAAAGATGGTGGTTTGAAATTCTCGTGGGTCACGGCCGCTACCCGCTACCGCCCTCTGCCCATCACACAGGGTGTCAGGGGTGGGGGGCGTCCCTGTGTGGACCAGTATCCCCGGCACCTGAGAGGAGCGGCTGCAGCTTGAGGGCACAGGGCTGGCCCAGACCAGCCCCCAGACCCTCCAACTCCAGCTCCGGGGCCCCTGGACTCTCTGGGGCCTTAAGTGAGGGTCCCCAGGCTGGTCCCCAGAAGGAGGCCCAAGGCCTCCACCGCAATCCCATAAAAGACCAGAGGCCCCCAGTGATCCCAGCAAGAGCAGGC